CAAAAATGAAGTGAAGTTGAAGCTTTCTGAATCGCACACAAGAAAGGTATTTTAATGACCGCTTACTTAGGCAATAAATGTTAAATTCTTTCACAGACAGCACTGTCTTCGAATCGCGGCGAAGGTTTGATTGTTTTACTGATCCTAATTCATCAATTTACCTAGTTTCGACTGGAAACACACAGATTACCCTAGACACACTTGGTTACGCAATGAAAAACGTCTCTACATCTTAGTACTTCTTACAGTAAAGAGAATCACGTGATGGACGTTTGCAATAGTCTTCTCTATTTCATCGTTGGTCGGTCTCGCCTACAATGAACACTGCATCACAGAAATCGATAAACGTCCATTCTCCCCACTCGACGATAGTCGCACGCTGAGTAGACAGACCTTGTCACTGGTTGGATAATTGGCACGTTGGACGTGTCTTCTGAGAGAAATGGATAGTACTCACCAAAGCAGCGTTGTTCGGATACATAAGTTCAACCTTATTGCTGTTTGGTCACCTTTGAAGGTTGGTGACAGCAAAGAACTTTAGGTTGTTCAATAATTATTTCGTACTCACCTTTGACTGACCTATGAGGACCTGTTACCTGCCGCAGAATGGTAAAATTGAAGGTAGACTACGCAAAAAATATTACGGTCGGATCGTGACGTCCAGGAATAGGCACCTGATTGCATTAGACCGATCAGCTAATCTTGATCAAAGAGCAGAACGTATAAATAGTAGCGGAAATTTTGCTGTTTCGATTCGCGAGAAGCAAACCGCATGTAATTCCCAACAAAGCTGTTTGAAATTTCTCGTTCTTGAGCACAGTTTGACGCTGATTTCAGAAAACAGTCACAATCGAAAATCGAAGAAAATGGTAAACAGTACCTTCCGACATTATTCACCTGTCCCGACTGGTTCTTTAACCATTAACTTGGAATTCGGATTTCAACTTAATAAATTAACTATATTATTTCGAAAAAGCAAGCAGCCTCATAATTATCCAGTGCACCGTAAAATTGTTTTGTGTTTTTTCAGGTAATACACGAGTTTCACTTCGCAATCTGTAGCAATTCTGAACATCCGTTGGTAGTTTTGTCCACACATGGAAATCCGTATGCGCCTTTATATGTTTCTTCAATATACACTGTTCCGTGTGCCTGGTATGTCAGTCACATCAACACGCCAATTTGAAAGGCCCAAGGAGTCCATTTCCCTACTATAGGCAAATACTTCCGAGGAAAACTGCGTCCTATTTTTACTTATTCTGAGTAAAATTAATCCCGCAAGACCACAAGGGTGCCCCAAATCGTGTTTAAAGTGAAGTTCTCAAGCATACAGGACATACATCTTAAGAAGGGAGAGCCAGTTGAGTTAGTGGTTGAACAAAGTTTCGCTTTAGCGTATGATCCAGTCATCTTCCGCTGGGATAAGTTAACCCTTCAAATTGCTATTGTAAATGATTTTACAATCAATACTGGTCTATCCATGAGTTTTGTTTCCAAAACTCTGGAACAACCTCTATATCGCTCATTGGAGTCCTAGTTACTTGCAAATGAAAAAACCCTCAGAAAAATGAATGTCTTTTGCAATAAACGTCCTCCGACATTATTCATTCCGGTTGTTCTTGCCTTGTGTTTCCACAAAACAAGTGACGACCCACTGTAGTCTCTGATCCCCAGGAGAGAGGGTCAATTGTCTGTTCAAGGCTTCCATATGGATTTGTGTCTAGTGACTTGAAGGCCACGATTTCTCGCTCAGGTCAAAGAAGTGCAACTTTTCGTCCTCTAAGCTACTTCCTTTAACCACTTATAGAAATTTCGTGGGATATTTCAACCAAATTGTTGTAAGGTGCTCTAGGTAAAGTACTCTAATCTGTTAGTGAATAGAAATAAGGTTACTGGAATAATAGTTGATACTGTAAAAATTGCACGTAACCAAACCATTTGGCCATGATTAGTTCATTAGCAGTGTGATTAACTTAGACAGGCATATAAACCTACAATCACGCAGTTCGCATCACGTGGCCCGATGTTGAGCTGCTCTTTTCACTAAATTAACACGTAAATAATCCTGCTATGTGCACTTCATGCATCTCTTTCAGGACGAAACATATAAGCTGGTGCCTTTCAGGACCAATAGGCCCACCCTAATGAGCATGTCGGGACGTTTATTTTGGAACATTTCTGGAAGCCACACCGGTTTGTCTCAATGAAACTGACCAAAACGTGCCTCTCATGGATTCAGACCATGAGTTCATACCTAGGGTGAAAAGTGCTACTCAGTCCAATAAAAAAGTACCAGGTTACAAGACATAATCTGTTCCCCCTGAAGTCAACGCCTTCAACCATAAGAAATAATGCCATGACATTAGAGAAGCCAGCAACGAGAAAACATGCAGGATCATTTAAGGAGGACCATCTCGATGTCACATATGGAGAGTGGAGTCTCCTTGCAACACTGACGTTCTTGACCAGCTGGGAGGTTTTCGCAATGAGCCCGGGAAACCCACAAGATAACATAGTGGACTCATGATTAGACGACTAGCGTTGAATTTTTTCGTATGTTCGTGCCCTTGTCATGATAGCTTTACAATATGTTTTCCATCAACAAAGACACAGAAGGTACTACTTTTATGTAACTGAAGGTGTTGCAACTGCCCGCTGCTACAGCACAGAATGTCTTGTACACTTTCAACGAATTTGGTGAGGACGTGTGATGGAACACTAGAATGACTGTTCGCCTTCAAGTTCGAATCACAGAACGGTTTACTCCAACCCGTTGTTGTCAGTATGAATCCTGGAGTACTTACAATGTTTTGTTTTATTTCTTGCTGTTTTCATATTTATTGTTCGGATTTTCTAGATTCTCGTTTGGGCTTCCACTTTCTACACTTCATTGGACTGTTTATCAAAGTACGACGCAAGTAACACTGATAGAAGGTTAACCATATGTTCAGCCGTCACCACAAGATGACTTACTTCACGTTTTAATGGCTTTCTTTTAGACAGGATCAAATGTGTCTCCAATAAATGCTGACCAGGCACCGCGATCGGTTGCCAGATCTGAGCAGATAACGGTCTAGCGTCGGAACCGGTAGCCTATCCTGTATATCACGTGGAGACGGAATTGCCTCTTGGCCTTAGTGAACCACAACTTCGGTTTTCCTTTTATGGGACAAATCTATCCATGAGACGACGCGGGAACCAAGGTCCGTCTGCTGGTTCCAACATCGCTCATTCGCACCAGCTGAAATATATAAGATAGGTATGGTGGAACAGCGTTTTCGGATCGCCCCACTGAACAACTTTATTAGCCAGTGAAATCTCACCATACGCTAGAGACATTGCTGATAAAAACCTCAAAATTTCTGAAACCCTCCGCCAGCAGAGTTAGAGGTAAATCAGGAGGGGACAGGTGTGTGTTTAAGATCCAGGTTCTTGTGCGCAAGTTAATTTTCCACGTTTTCCACAAGACGGTGCTCAGTTGCATCAAGATCTCCCGGACACCTTCGATTCACTGTTAAATTGCTGCTTTAAGTCCCTCATTGGATGAATTGATGGAGCCAAGGTACATGAGTTCGATGATTTACTGGATCATCACGTTTCGCATATTGACAAGGACGTCCAAACAGTTGGTGAGTTAGCTGTTGAAGGTCTTGATTTTCAGTCCCACAGTAGATGCAGGGTAAGTTCCATTATTCACCACACATTGGAGTTATTCCAACTTATCATCCGACAAAAAGATCAGTGCATTCAGAGTCACTTAGCCAGGTATGAGCTTTTAATCTGATTTTGGAATTAATCGGACTTAACCAGAGTATCCCTCAAATGCCCCTCCTACTGACTAGTCAGTAAAGATATCAGAGTATCAGCGAAGTGAACAGCCCCGTGGTTGAGTAGGCTTAATGTGGAACTCTGTGGCCTCCTCGTTGTATACCTGGACGCGAGCTCTTACAAATGAGAACTAAACAATAATGAGCTTTACTAGCTTTGAAGAGACCCTCAACTAACAGGATCGCTCACCTCCAGACACTGTTTGGGACGGTTTCGCTATCCTACTCGGTTAAACTCACTGTAGTGTCACGTGCATGCAATGCATGTGCCAAGGCAAATTAGTATCCAACATAAATTAAGAGGTAACATTGGCAATACAGTACATTTAGAGGAACAGACGCCAATCTATCCTGAGAAACCGAGAAGCACTGTACAGCTGTTTCATCCTTATGACAGTTCTATTTGAGCAGTCGTTGCTCGAGGAGCCAGTCAATACGTGCGGTCGCGTGATGTGGATCTCGTGATTGAAGAATGGGCGCCGTTATATCCTATCTGAGTGCGAGTTAATCACACTGTTGATCAGCCACTCGTGGCCGAACGGTTAGCTGTTCAAACTACTAGCTCGGAGGTCGAGGGTTCGAGACCCTCCGGAGTTTCGTTAAATATGCACTACTGATGATTCCCAATAAGGAAGATACAGCTGTACAGTGCTTCTAGGCTTTTCAGCATGGATCGGCTTCACTTACGGGACAAAATCTCCACAAAAATTCCCAAATTTCCTCACACTTACAAAAATTGACGCTTTTAGTCCATTCAGAATGAGGAATAGTCTTAGCCTTAAATATAGCTATTCGTATCATACTGTTGCGGTCAGCCCTGAGATTATTTGTCATATCACGGACATCCTGATTACCTATTGGATTTCAGTGATGCTGTTCCAGTTATTTAAAGGCAGATTAGCTTGTTAACTTTATCGCGGGTTCTGTTGGTACTTTGGATGGTACAGTGGATGGACGATGACCTGCCTGTAGCCCATTCAATATAACGCAGTAAAGACAGGCTGCGTTCAGTCCGCGAATGTGGTGGGCGCCACAATCAATGCACACACAGACCTGACAACTGGGTATGGTAACCAACAGACCAGCAAATCGATGTCTGTTTTATTTGGCTTCTGATTGGCTGGTCGACAATGTGAAATTCTGGAGGCATGTTGTCAAGGCCTGCGGGTATAAAACAGCGCTAACCACTGTCTACTGTGACCATCCTGTGCAATGTCGGAGTACTCGTGGAAGGATACCAACTTGGCTTTGGTCGGTTCAGAAGAAGATAGAAACGTTAAGAGTAAGTGAAAGGGTGATCGTGTTTTGGAGTTGTCATCGGGATTATGTCAATGGATTCACGCCGCCGACGCAGTACGAAACTGGATCTCATCTGCATTGCATTTCTAAAAGCCGAAAAACTTCATGCTAAGTAATGCTGCGTTGTCGCTATGATCTCTAATGAGAGAATATTGCTGACACAATGACATTTAGCAAGCACTTCACAGAAGAGTGTTTAGAACTTGGTGGAACTTCGCTATGAAACGTCATACTCTTGGCAGACTATTCTTACCAACAGGAAGAGAACAGAGTTCTCTGTACCATCTAAAACAGGTCCAAAGAATACGAATACCGGTAGTTAGAACGCTTTTTGCTGGCTAAGTGACGTAGAAGTTTGCATTTGCAGACTTTTATTGAAAAAGTTGCAGTTTACAGTTGGTTTTAGTATACTTTAGGAGTGACAAAAGTTATTCATAACGACTTAAGAGCGTTCAATACACCCAGAACCATTCAGTCCTGGTTATTCACATTTCTCGTTTTCTGACTCGTATGGCCTGTTCTCACCTGACTGAAGTTATCGCTCATATTCACTGGTGACTTCTGTTTCCAGTCAACGTACTCAATCTATGAGTCAGTCGTCTTTACTTCTTATCGCTTGAAATTGATTGACTGAGCAGCGGTCATGGACAAATAGGGTTGCTCAACGATCGGTGCACATGATACCTTATATATAACTGCTGTGAGTATTGTCGAGGATACGTGTATGGAAGTAAACGTATAACCGGTTCTCGCATGGGTTTCTAGCCTGTCCACTACAACGCGGTTCCACAACTAAGCAATACACTTTGAGCCTTCACCCATGTAACCTTTTTTGAAAGTGTGACTTTTCAACTTCCTACTCACGGTGGCAACTGGACAACTTGTGTAAAGTGCCATAGTCTATGAGTTTTTGAGAATTTCTTTCAACTATGAATTTCAGTTTTACTTTTTGGTAAGAAATGGGGAATGAATCCTTAAGTGGGCTCCAATACGTGGTTTCTTGCACATGTTTCTTCCTCACAGACAGATTTACAGCAAAGTAACAATTGCACATCTTCGCTTCTTCTGCAACGTCTTCTGGCATCTTAAGTTGAATGATAGGTTGACTGATTGAACGCGCTTGAGGCCACAAAACAAGCACTAGACACGATCGTCAACATATCTAGTCTGTGTTCAACCCAATCGGTGACATCAAATTTCGGGACAAAAACGGAATTCGCCTAGTTAATATGCAGGTGCCTTCCGCTGCGCTTATAGCTGCAGACTCGATCACAGTCATCCCACACGATTGGCCAAAGCTTGGCCTCTGCGTCCGTTTCTCTAATTGGTTCGTCTAAGATTAATCTCCGTGCGTCTATCCGAAGCTTGTTCACATTGCTCACCGCCGATCAATGTTTATCGCGCACATTTCCCATATTTTGTATGTGGAAGGCGTCGCAGTCATCTTGTAGTGGCCCAGTGATTGGTTCTGGACACCAATTGGGTTACTTCACTTTTCGTATACCGTTAGAGGTTGTTACCGCCACTAAAGAGACCCTGAAAGCAAATAGCAGTAGTATTTTGCCTTCCGGATTTTAAGGTGATTGCTTTCGGTTTCTGTAGAAAAGCAAAAACCTCACTAGGATTCTCCCCTTTTTTCTGATATCAGCGATGTCATTGGCAACTTAACATCAGCGTTCAACACTGATGCCTAACTGCAGCATTTTTCTGACAAGTGACCCACTCAAACAGAGTGGTTTGGATAAATGATCCATGCAGTGTCTTTCTCGAGTGCTGTTTTCCATGCAGAAAATCCCACTTGAACTAAAATACTAAAGCGTTTCTGCTTGTTGACGGGTTTTAGTCGGCTGAGAAAACCATGCGTGTAGCCAATACATGCTTCTGGCCTCAACAGAATAGGAGTCTTTGAACGCCGTGAGCGGAGCACTGTGTTCCGTGGTATGCGTTTCGCAAAAGCAACTGGCGAGCAAGGATACTAAGATCACACTGTACTGCAGTGTGATTCACCTACGTCCTCTCAATAAAATTGGTTGTTGCTGAATAGCGCTGATAATACACAAACGGTCATTTTGTGATTATTTTGTTGATGGACGAAACAACACACTATCTGCGATTGTACACAGTGTTGAGGTGCACTCAAGTACCATACTCACAAGCTAGCTGGGTGACTAAAATCCGAGCTATCAATCTTCGAGTTCTCGCAACCATCCTATTTGTACGTTTTGCGCTTACTCAATAATTTTAATGGAAATGTTAAATTGCAAGTCTTTTTTGCACACAGGATCTATCTGTAAACTATCTGACGCGTTAATCTTGCTTGATTACGTCCGTACTTTGAACCTGTTCAGTTCATCATCATTGCCAATGACAACATCATGGGAAAAAATGGTCCTTCACTGCTGTAGCGTCAACAGTAGTCTGTTTTCTCCTCAGGCTGTTGCATTCTGATGGTGCCACTCGATAGCTAAGATGGCAGGGAGCTATTTGTAACTGTGCTATTTAAGGTTTTACGTGTGGTGTGATACTACGAGTGCGCCCGTGCCTAGATAGGAGGACGATCCACATCCTCGACCCGAGCGCAATTCAGCGGTAGTTAGCTTAAGACCATATATATATATATATATATATATATATATATATATCACGAACCTGGTATGAGAGGCCCCGTGAGTGTCACAAGTATAACCTGAGTATAGTTTTGTGAGTTACGGAAGTGCACAAACCCTCACATTACTGTAAGGTCAGTCTCCTTATGAAGACGTTCAACGTGGAATTTATGACAGTTTACTTTTTAGGTCGACTGCAGAAATCTACCAGAAATAACAAAATGTTAAATAGCAACAGCCCTTCTCTGACCATTTGATTGTAGCGTTCTGGTGAGGTTTCTTAGCCAAGTTTTTGTGATTGCTTCCCATGTATTGAAAAGGTCAGCAGACGACGGTACCTAGTGACACTATCCGATGGTGTGAAAATGGGGGCATCATTCAGTCAGGAGCAGTTCGGTTGTGGATGCAGACGGTTGTTTGGCATTTTCGGGAACTCTGCACTTGGAATGACGTCCTTCAGCCCATTAATTACCACGAACATAAATGTTTCTTTCACTTACTTAGCCGCGGCATAATGCAACCTGAAATATACATATGGGTTGATATACTTTCATGTTATACAGGCCTGAACAGGAGCAATCGAGAAGCAGCAGTGAACCCGAACAGTGAACATCAAAATCATTAGTTCACGCCTTGTTCACTGACATGCTCAGGTTGTTGAATTCACACGCTGGCAAATGAAAAGATAAATCCCCACAAAGATTTTCAACCCCAAACAAAAAGCGACGTAACTCTACCGACAACAATTCCTTAGTAGTCATAGTCAGATTAACCAGTTCCAAAAATGGGAAAAGGGATGGTCGAATTTGCAGCGAAAATCGATGGCTCCTTCTTGGAGTTGTTACGACAACTTTTGAGTAGGTTGAAGCGAAGCCTTGCCAAACTATCGGGGGAATTTGTACTGCGGCATATGCTCAACCAGCGGCACACAACGTAATTTAATATAATACAATATAATATAAGGTGATTATAACAATATAATATAATGGGATGAAGTATAATAAAATATCACAAACAGACAATATAATATAATGTAATATGTTATGATATGTAAAAAATATGCTACAGTTCAATACAATGCAGTATATTACAATATAATACAATGCAGTACAAAGCAATATAATAATATTCCATAATGTAATGCAATACTACGTAATAAAATGATATAAAATTATGAAATCTAATACAGCATAACATAGTGTAAAGCCAACTACTACATTATAATATTATGTTATCTAATATATGATACAAGGTTGTAATTTAGCAACATAAATGTACTTTAGTGGTATAGTGTAACATAATATACTTCATATTATGTATTTACATATTATACATATATACGTCTAACATAATATGATATGATCTTAACGTGAAATGCGATCGCCAGAAGTGGTGCCCGCAATCTTCATTACGTTTCGGGCTGAGTACTTTCAGCTCGATAAGAGTTTAAGAAAGAGCGCTACTGCTTGCATGACTAATGTCACGCGGTGTATTTGGTCCTTGGGACGCCATGCGGCATAACTTCTCTTTTATTGGACGAAAACTTGAAGTGACTTATTAAATGTTGACCAACATGTTCCTTGTCGAAAGCAAACACGGGAAATGCCGTAATGTGTCCATAACATTGGGGGTCGCATTATGTGGTTGCAGGAGTGAGTACGTGAGAGTCAACTTCAGCGACCTATGGGTAGTGACCCTTCCCTTCTGAACGAACCCCTGTTCTATGTGACGAAAAAGGGGGATAGATTGAATTGACTACTTTTGTGCACTGACTTTTTTGTCACAGTCTTTCCTACGTTGCTTATGGAAAGTCAACAATTTGGGCCCCAAAAGTGACCAGGACGCAATTTGTGTATTCTCTAGAGATCGACGATCATCGCTTCACTTTGCATCCGTAAAAGGTTTAGCCGTCACATCCCAGGACTTGTGGCAACCACAACTACTGGCGTTTGTTGTACACAGTTTTTGGTTACTTTTTGAAACACTTTCTTTAGAGGACAGCCGCTACTGGAACCCGAGTTTAATTCCCTGATTTTTAAAGAACAGCAAAGTAATGAAAAGTTTCATAGGCAGGCCCATTTTAAGGTAATGCACGCTGATGCGAGGCTCAGCTAATTCCTCATTAGCTTGGATTAACCCAGCTGAATATATTGATCGACTGTTTTCAATAATGCATCATCCACTTAGACTTTGATGCATGAGAACCAATCTGCTTGTGTTCCATCTGGTGGGTCAAGCTGGTCCGTTCGGTTGACAAAGACATCACACACTGTTTTTATCGGAAGGCTTTTAACTGAAGCTTGACCAGAGGCTGCTTGTTTTTTTAGGTTAAGCAAGCAATGATTGAAACGGCCTCTAATTAGTGGAACGGAATGCAGTTCAGAAGAATCAGCTTACTACTGGAACAGAGTTAATTGGTTAGCCCCTTTTTGGATGCAAGAATGAATAGTCCTGCAAACGGTAATAGACATTCTGCGATACACTGGGTTCCTCTCTCCCCTTTTTAAACCTCTGTTGAACCGTCGAACTTTACAGTTGGTCAGTCACCGGATTCTCTTTGAACTGTAAGACATGCCTTCAGTTATTCGAGACGGTGCCAGTCTTCGAAGGTTTACAGCTGGTAGCTTCACAGTACGTGAAAATTGCATACTATTCACTTAGGTCCGCATAGTTTGTATCTTTCGCTCTTTTCTAAGCACCCACATAACCCCATCTTTCTTTCCACCCATGTTTCGCACTCACAGAAAAGGCAGCTGAAACCGAGCCTGCCTGGAAAGATGTTCTCAGCATCGACTCTACAACTACGTTGGTCTGGCGCATTAACGTGAGTTGCATGGTACTTCGTTATTTTTGTGTGCTAGGAATGCGAGACAATAATCTGTGGTGTCCTGCAAGCGAGAACAAAGTCAACATCTTGACTCGGATATTTGATTTCGTTTTCTACGGAGGTACACCAAAATTGACTACTACACACCATGCGTACAGGTTCTGTTTCTTAACTTTGTCTCGCAGGAACTCTTTTCCTCCTCCCCCCCTCGCTTATGTTCTGATACCCACTCTGTGTTCACAGTTGAGATGCAACTTTCAGCTGACGTGCTCTTCATCAGATCTCTGCGTACTAGTTTGCTGGTTTTACCGCCATTTCACTGGACATGTTGGGCACCGTCAAAGTTTGGAAAGGAAATGATTATCCTAAAGTTGTTTCATGCCAAAAACATAACTGATGGGCTAACCAGGGTATCCGCCCGCTCAGGTATATCAAACTCCTGTGAGCCATTGTCAGACGGGTCTGCAACAGGTCTTGAGTAGACATGATCCACTGCACTTCTTTCGCTGGATTGGGATAAACATATATGCGTCGTTATTTCACTTCCTTATCCTTGGCTCTGCACTCAGTTACTTCGTCCAAGATGAATATCTGTCATCCATAGTGAACACAAACGATTACAATGCTAGTTTAACACGATCATGAAATAGACAAACGCAACAGTGGAACAACATTTACCGTTTTTACTATCAAGCGCAATACAAATCGATAGTCAGGAATGAAACATCAGATGTTATTTTATCCAGTACTTTCCATCTGTGAAAGTGGATACGACGCCTCCCCCCCCCAATGGTTTAGTAGCCAGGTCAAACTTTGAATAACAGCCCAAAAAGTAGTATGTTGCGGACTAATGAAGTAATCTGGATTCTTTGAGAGCAGAGCAACAAAAAGCCACTGGGGGAAATCCTGAGTTCAGCAGTCCTTAGTGCTCCGATCTTAGGCTTTAGTCGAAATCAGATTCGTTTATCACGTTCTGAAAACAAACTTGAGTACGCTTTTTGACCGAAGAAAGGGTTCTAATCACGTGTTTAACCAGTGTTTGCATGGTTTGTACGTGCGTCAAAATGAACTGGCTCGTTTCTGATCTACCGCATGTTGTAATCAACATATGGGAGAAATCATTAAATGGTTTTTGATGAAATCTGTGCATCGGACTTAATAAAACTTACGGTCTCCGTTAGACCATTCACTGACTTCAGGATTCTCAGTCCTCCATTCTCTTCATTCTCCGGACAACGTAGTGCTCAATAAATTTGTTTCACCGGTTCCTGGTGACGCTTCCTCAATCCCTTTATTCTAGAAACTATAGGTGCGAGAGTAATCTCCGGCATTTACCATCAAGTTGTGTTCGACCCGTTGGATACCCGTTGTCAACTTTCCCATATCTTGTTCGTTTTGAATAAAATCTTCTTACTTACACTGCTCTGGAGTAGAAATCATCCTTGAGGAAGTTCTCAGGGGTACTGTGTAAGTAGACAATATCACACAACCTGGTTCAGGTCACATCCAACGACGAAGTACAACAATTCTGAATAGGGTCGTCGCCCGGTTAGACATGGTCCCATCACTTTCAAAGTGTAAACCGAGTTTAGTGACGGGATAGAGACAATTGACAGATTCGCCTGCCGTGGTAGTCGCATCACGCTGGACGCATCAATTCTAACCAGATGAATGCTACGCTTCTCCAACTTGGCACGTCCGAATCAGATGTGGCACTAAGCTGTCGATAAAAGCCAGGGCACACAACGCGTCCGGTGTTGCTCTACAGGCTCTTAAACCGTCGCAGCTGTGTATTAAAGGCACGCGAGCATTGCTAGGTTTTTTTTCACCAGCATTGTCATCGAAGAGTTGTACGTACATCATGTGAACATTTAGTGTTGAAGTGCAACGAATGGCTTATGATATCAAATTAAACGCTTTTCCAACCATTGATTTAATTCGGGTGCTCATAGGATTGGTATTGCTATGCAGGACGATCGGTAGTCCAGCTGTGGTCAGTCATATGAGCAATCTAAGTAAGGGATGATCTGGGGAAGAGGCACGTTGACGTCTATGTGGCATGCGTAACTCGCCAAATTAGTGATTGGATTTACTCATCCGCATTGTGGCGCCACCTTACAAGCGGCATTGTGGTATCAAATCTTATGCACCTACGAATTCCCTTAATTCTGTGTGGTCTGCAGCCACCTGATTCGGTGGGCCGATCCACCAAAAAGCACGTTTGAGGATAGTGACTGTCGAAGTAAACTGAGCTGAAACAGATTGCTAGATTCTTACTAGTTTATGAGTTAGTTCGTGAAAAATGAGCAAATTTTGGCTTGTGTTCCGAGCCACAAGTGCGCAGTTGTCACAAGCGACTTGTCTGGTGAGCAGAGTCTTGATTTTTTTGTAGCACCTGGCAAGTTTCTTGAGCTCAGCATATTTAACACGAAGCTATCCGATGTTAATGCGTTTGATTTATCCACTTCTGTTTACCAGCAATTCAAAGTTGAGGAGGTGAAGAAAGAAACCTTTGGCAAGTTTTTCAGTGGCGATTCCTACATCGTGTTACATACTGAGAAGACTGGAAATCAACTGCTCTATGATGTGCATTTTTGGATTGGCAAGGATAGTACACAGGTAACTCTGTGTGTGAAAGGTGTATTCACATGCGCATACTTGTTCGTTTGCAGAGTAATCGTTAGACTCTCTTCTCTGGAGTAGTTGTTGACCGTGTTATATTAACGGCTTTATTGTTCGCAACAAATATGACTCCGTTTTCTAACGTGTTTAACCTTATGAACGCCTCTCGTCTCATTTCCATTTCCGACGTTTACTGCGAGTTCGGGATTTAGTTGCGGACACCCTGGCGGGTATTCGATGGAGATGCTCACATGAAAACTCACAATCTTGTGCTGTTTTTTTTTAAAGTCTGAGTGACCGCATTTTTAGGGATTTGTTCTCTTAATAATCGATAGTCCATTCAGACGTGGTAATTTAGGCACATGCAGCATCGTCTAACGGTGTAATGGTAGAGCAATCTCCTTGCATATTAACCGTCTAGATTTGAATTCCTGGCATAATCAAGGACTGAAGGAGACTGTGCTGGGAAACCATACTTGTTGTGCATTTCCTCAACCCATGGTGTGGACAAACTAGACTGATCGCGTTTTCTGAGGGACGTGTCGTCCGAACCACCATGTTGTAACGGGCTTGGTGACGTCGGGCTGTATTCGCCTTGGTTTTAAATGTTCACCGATTGTTTTAACTAGGAGGCATTGTATAATACTGTTCCGTGTGATAAGCAACTAGCTTGCATTCACCCACATCCAAATCTTACCGTCTAGCTCTCTGATGCCTTTATCTTCACAGGATGAATATGCAACAGCCGCTTATAAGACAGTTGAGCTGGACACTCTGCTGGATGACAAGGCGGTACAACACCGTGAAGTAGATGGTTTCGAATCGGATGAGTTCAAGTCTTACTTCCCAGTCCTGGAGTAAGTGCTATCGATAGCCTTGGTATTTTTGTCAGCAAAACGCAAAAATTTTTCTTCTTGCATATTGTCTATTCGAGGTGATGGGGCACAATGTTCAGCAACGCCCCCTTTGATATCACCATGTTATGCAACCCATCGAAGCAAAATCCTGACACTGTTGATTTTTAACAACCTCTCTGATATGCTTTTCTGATGTTCTCATCTGCACACTCTTGACGCTAAGCCCGCATTTTGACGAAAACATCGCAGCATGCATGAAGGCGTCCACTGCATTTTAACGCTCTCACAGTTTGGTGTGAAATATTTCATCTGTGTGGTCATCGCTTCCATCAAACTGAAAATTTCACCCACAACAATTGTGGATTCTTCCGATGTTATGCGTTATCCTTTCAAGGGTTATTCCAAAACAAAATGGAATTGATTTTGGGCTCATTTTCTGCGGAGCTGCGTAAGTGCACTGGCGTCGAAGCTTCGTTGCAGCCGAGTAGTTTTGTTCGAAATGACCCTACACATGTACGTTACGTTAAACCGATTTCTGAAATTGTCAAGTGAACGGATGCACGCTGTTAGGTACTTCCTTGATGTCCGATATCGGGTACGTCTCATGTAGATGAGAAGGACCAGAGTCTTTGACGTGTGCACTATGATGACAAGTGATGACGCTTTCCGATCAATAGTCTTTAGGTGGAATTTTCGCTCGCTAAACTATGTTTGCACACTGAACTAGTTAATGAGATTCAATAATGGTTACCGCAAAATAGGCTACCCTTACAGTCGGTATTACAGCTGACCACTTTTGCACACTGAAATATGGCCCAGTTTTGTACTCAACAACACGTGCACAGTATTGCTGGCAAATTAAGCGGTGTAACTTATTCGTATGAAGGTGACTGCGGGATTTGTAGAATTCGCGCTCATACCACTGTCGTTTGAACAGTTGTCCTCCTGTCCAGGCACGATCATTCTGATGGACCCACATTAAAAGGGGAGAAGAATCGGATTCGAGTTTCGCTTTTTTTTGGAGTTATATTCTTGGCCTTGTAAGCCCCGCAAAAGAGTGAAGACTCCTTCAGGCAAACATGTTCTAACACGGCTACGGCGCAGATGACTCATCTACTTGATACTGAAGTGTGTATCTTAGTCGCGCTTGTTAGTACCATCCTGGTAACAAACAAACCAAGGTCTAAATAAAACTTCTCAGTTTTGTCTTGAGACGGATAAATCCGAACTGATGAGAAAAGGGTCCTTTGCTAGAATGTCCAATCCTGAAACAAGGTGAACTAAGATTAGCGGATGTTTATTGGTTGTTTTTGTTTTTCACCAGTGGAGCTTGGCTTGAAGGCTTCGTGCTGAGAAAATCCACTGTCCGATGAGATTGCTTCTTGTGGAGAGATCCTTCTCATACTTTTTGCCTTTAATACATATGTGTCATCCAATAATTGTACAAACTCTGAAGGGACTATATTATTTGGGTTCCCCCAGCAGCGAGATTTTCTAAAGCGTACATAAGCTTGACACAGGTTGAAGGCAACAGAATGTGCTACGGACCGGAGATCAACTCGTTTTTTAGGGTATGCTGACGTTATTCCGTATGTAACACTCCCAACGGGTCAAAAGGGATTCCATTTCACTCTCTGTTATACAAAACTCTAGGATTTCATGCTCTGTTCCATGTTCTCGGCTTTTCATAATGTGACAGTGATGTGACCTGGGTTGACCTGGGTTCAACTTTTCTTCGCTCTTGAATTAGGAAGCTGGCTGGTGGCTATGCAACCGGGTTCAGAGAACGAAAACCGGAAGAACTGCCCAAACGTCTATTACTCTGTCACGGTCTGGATCGTCGTCACGTGGAGCTGACCGAGGTTACCTTTTCTAGGAAGTCTCTCAATTCAAATGATGTGTTCATTCTGGACTTGGGAACCAAGGCATATCAATGGAATGGTCAGAATGCGAGCAAAGACGAACGTTTTAAGGTGAACTGAGTTGATGCTCTGATTTTGACTGCGCATCCATCACTTTTCCATATTTGTCGCATCGATAAGAGAATCAAAATCTAACTCCCAATAATCTAGCATAGACACAGTCAGTTGATGTGGGTTACATGCTCATTTTGACGAAATACAGGAACGCAGACATTTGTAGGGTTCAAACAATATCAAATGTAACCACATTTATCCAGCCGCCAAAACGAGCTTCGTTACATAACCGAGCGACAAGGCTAAGTCAAAACGTCTGTTTGATCACACTTGTTTGTGTTCAGTTACCAGTCCAATAAAACCTATTTGTGTCACTCTCCGATGTCGCCGAACACCTTTGAAACACCTGACGAATCCGGGCAGCCAGGCTAAACCAATCACTCTAGGCAAAGCACACCTCTCGGCAGTCATGTGGTCGGACATTTTCAAGCTTTCGTCAAAACACTTTTCATAGGACCCTAGAAATCAAAATTAGTAATTCAATCTGCCCACCTATTCTGGAACTGACCTGCTCCCACAAAACGCGATAATTTTTGTTCTTTTAACTGTCAACATCTAGTAACTCTTTTACCGAGTTCTGATGGAACCGTTTAATACTGTCCAAACTTTCCAACTTTCTTATTGTGTCACTTTTTTTTAGAAATCACCTCATTTTCATTGAAGAAACTGGTCGAATGATAGAGAAATTAAGTATGAATTATTTTCTTAACTGAAAATACTACTCATAAGGTGGCTGAAAACTTCCAAAGCCCACTACCGGTGTGTTGACCTTCTTGAAGCTCATCGGGTGCGTACAACACCTGGGCTCCCGTCAACCCTATTTTTCACTCGATCAGTAAACTACGCAGTGTCGAATTACATACGTTCGCGAATTCGATTTGCTAATTAAGTCTATATACGACGTGCAGCTTGATTTATTGGGTGTGCCAATCAAAGTAATCATTTTGTGTATCTCTGCATTTCAGGCGAGTGAGTTTATGCAAGCTCTCGAATCGCAGCGAATGGGACGCTGTCCGACGGTGGTTGTAGATGAATCTGACAGAGAAGGAACGGTAAATATCATTTGATGCTCTTTCATGCTCTTTATATCCGGACGAGGCTTCGGCAGCGGTATTCTGCATGTCCAATCACATCTACCTGACCAATTAAACTTATTTAGAGTTCATATTAGCCCGTTCATTCCAACAAGCCTTTTCAACCGTACGAAGAAACTTGCACTCCTATCGCACGGTCAGCACAGAATACTCAAAGACCACATCAAAAGTCGATCCTAAGTGGAGTCACTTCTTGAGCAAAGATCGCGCCAGTGTTGTCTTCTGACGTCAAATTTGGCTTCTTGAGAAAACATGTTCGCTTAGCAGCAGTTTATATGATATAGAAAGCTCTCTACTGAGATTTTACTTCGAGGTCTTTTGCCGAACTCATGCAAACACCTTCAGAAAGATTATCCCTTACTAGGAGCAACACTTAACAGGGCTTCTTTCAACAACTGGGCACCTGGAAGAGATCACTCTCAAAAAGTGGTGTATTCTACTAGTTTTTTTGTAAAATTACATCTTATCAGCGAGTGGTGGGTACCCTTCACTCAAGAAAGCAGCAAGTAAAGGAATAGTAATTACTGATAACAAGTTGTCCCGAATCCTACAAACCAGAACTCCTGAGTGCATGACAACCGCTGGCTCCTTAATTAGTCTTAGACTGATTTACTTGTTTCTGGGTTGAGCGACAGCTATGCGCTGTCAGCGGATGCTGTAACTGAACAGTATGCAGTGGAAAAAGGACGTCGTGAGGTGTTCGACAATAAGTTCTATACGAATAGCTTTACAAGTATTTACTTGTGGAGAGCTGGCTCCTTTATTGTATTTTTCCGATTGTTTCCATAACACACTGTTAAAGATCGATAAGTGAGCTCCAAAGTAAAAAAGTGGGGAGCTCGAAGTCAGCCTCAGCAGCACTGAATAGTGCTGCAACAGTTGAATTTTGTGGCTTATTCACTAGACCTTTTCTGCTTATGGAGCGGCCTCGGCCAACCTTATTTAAATCATGCTCTGTCACGACTCGTTCTGCCTGACGAAGCAAACCCGTGAACTTAAAAGTGGTCACAGGCAGATAAAGAACAAGACGTTGTTCCAGAGCATCATCTGCTGTGTAACGAACAGCTCTTTGTGCTTCCGAGTCACAGATTTCCCAAGAAGAGGTAAGTTGTTTAACTGTTATTGGTGCTTGCTAGCTAGGGTGTATTAACTGCCTCACTAATCCATGTATTTTCCCTTGTGTGATTTGCAGCCAACGAAGGTGCCCCCGTTCTCTAATACCTTATTCTGCTTGTCATCAGGACATCTTTGGAATTGATTTTTTCTTCATCATCTCTTATCTAGAACGAATTTCTTTCATACTTGCCCGACGAGCCGGTCCACGAAAAACCGAAACAAGAAACTGAAAAGAAGGCTATCTACAGGTAGGCCAGGTGCCATAATGTGCACACCTGCTTAAATCCAAGTTACGGGTACCGAAGTTCGTGTCATTCTGAGGCCTGTCCAAACAAGTTAGATTTTTTTGCTCAGCCCGCAGATGTCAATTTTGCGTCCAGGGTTGCAGAGCACAAACATTCGGTATTAGATCTCGAGAATTAGGGAGATGAAAAACAGCTGGTTTACAGTCGTACGTGTTTTAATCGAACCACCAGTGGATTAAAATTGAACTAAACCTGGGGACCTGCGTGTTGATAGGGGTGTACAAAGTAAAACTGAACCTACACGCACAAACAAGTTTGACGTGATGTGTCGTAGATATATCGAGTGAGAGAAGACTGAAAAGAACACAGTTATACAAAGGAACCGCATCAGTTTTAGAGAGAACCATGTATAATCATTGACATGGATTATTTCCCAGGTTGTGGCCTCTACCTGCTGTGCAGTATATCGAACAGGTGCACATCGGACACACTCTGGCTTGGTTGCCTTATCGGTCGGACAGTAAATACAGATATGATATTCTTTAGTGATTAGAGAGTTTCATCACACTTGGTGACCAAATCCTCCACATGATTGGCTGGTTCTCCTAATGATTTGTTTTGCGCTTCTGGATTCCATGCGTGGCAGTTTTACACTGCGAGACATTCCCGTCAGGTGTGTCTTTATTCTGATTTAGGGGAATCACAGTCACCTGTAAAAGGCAAAAGGGGTAGCAGTGAATTGCCGTTGAATATCGGAACAGTTCCAATGGAATTACTTCAGGGGATGTGCCCAGATAGCAAGCACAGTTTGCTACGTCACAACAGCGTCCGCTCAAAGTGGTGAGAACGCACCTGTCGGCACAGTCAGCAGCAATAGGCTCAGTTGGTACTATATGGGAAGAATTTGATACCAGTCGGCTGACGGCCTTACTTTACAGTACTCCAAGAGTGTTCCCGAAAAGTGCGCTTCTGAGGCGAGGGGAAAGTTGTTCGATTCGAAATTTATTCTCATTACAAAATGGAATGTCTCTCAAAGGTAGTGCCTCCAACGAAAAAGCAACCTAGTTCTTGTGGTGCATTTTCCGCTCCATACTCAAAATTGCGGCTTCACCTGCTGAGCTAAGACAACGCCAATGGGTTCCATTCAGCAACTGGTGATTTATGTACCATGGGTGCCATTGGATCAATTTGGGAGCACAGTTTTAAGTAGGGCCCAACAGTTCAACTGTTGGCGACAGCAATCATCCAGCTAATGGAACTGGTACTGTTGGACGCTGCACTGTTTGTTGAAACACCTTATTGCGTGCACTTCATACGATGAAGTGAACATGAAGCAGACATGTCTTTTGGCACTACACAAGATGACATTGTAAAGTGCGGGTTTCATTAGGCTTAGAGTGTATTGCAAATACAATCCTCCTGCTATAAGCTTTCGATGACGTGTCTGCGTGTCCAGTTCTATAAGACATACAAAATAGCCCGCAGATGTGTCTCAGCATGTTTCAGAAGTCTCTCCAACAAGCGTGTGATCCCAAAAACAGGTCAAGTTGCGTAGGGATCAAGGAGGAGTTTGACAACTTCGCAGGATGATAGAACCAGGAGTAGCCTGTTTTGGAAAGTGCACACAACCGAGCAAAAGCACATTTTAAGTTTGTTTGTTTATTTCTTGAGTGATTCGCTTTATACTTCAAGGGATAAGTGCAAGTATCGTCAAATTCACGCAATAAGGCAATCGTTGAAAACAGTGAAAATGTCGATCATCCCTCACTCAACACAACATACAGTCTTATTCGTGGTCAGTTAGTGAATTAACTCCTTCGTTCGCATTTCATTCATATCGGTTGATGTTTATTCCAACTATTTGAAGAGTGCTAATACAATGTCTTACAAAAAGAGTGCTCCCAAGAAGAGCGCGAGTCTGACCGGTTTCGAGGATCCATTCGCTTTCTTGGAGATGGAACTGGTAATAAGTTCATTCATTTTCTGGTATTACTTCTTACTAGCGTGGTCTAGAGTGAGAGAGAAAATCGCCATAATTCACCTCGAAAATTGGTCTTCGGTTCGAGCTGATAGGTGGTCTCCTCAGGGTCCTATAAACAAAAGCTCCAAGGGGTAATCCAAGAGCGACCTTCCTTGATGGGGTCAATAGAGCTACAGCTTTTATGCTGTCATAGACGGGTATCACGATGGCATGGGTTTGCAGTACTATCCACACAAATGACCTCGTTCTACAACTACACACATAGTTTCGTGTATTTTCTGGGTACTTCACACCGTTGGGAAAATTTGCGTCTGAAAACAGATTATTTCGGGGGAAGGGGGGCTGGAAGGACACAACACCAGCCCCCTTACTGACATGGCTGCGCGAATTCCAGGCAATTGCCTACCAGCTGCGCTCTGGTAAGCAAACTTGGATTGACGTGTTACGTCTATTCGAGCACATGTCATTTGGTGTCGCTTTTACTACCTTGCACGAATAGGAACTTGAGTTTCTTTAAATGACCACCTTTAAGAGATACATTGAGAGTTAACCACTGACACTGAGGCAGCTCTATCCTGTAGTTTGCGCCTAATGTATCATTTATGGATGACAGTTTTTCACTTCATACTGAGAAATAAAGCAGAGGTTACTGGACATAATCTGTCCAACATTTTCGGTAGATAACTTCAAGCCGTTTATGTAGACGGTCTCGTTTTGGTTTTTCAGGCTTTCTGACGAATCGGGTCAACTCAAGGTTACTCTGGTGTGCGAAAACAACTTGCCACGCGGAGCACTTACTCATGATGACGCTTACTTCATCGATAATGGCAATACCCTGTTTGTCTACATTGGAACTAAGTGCTCCAAAACCGAAAAGCTGAATGCTTTGGCTCATGCCCACGTAAGAGATGCTGGTTATGTTCATGTGCATGCTCCAGAGAATGTATCCCACTTACCGGGGGAAACTTTCTCACGTGTTGATCGTTATTGTGCACACTAGTATTCCTTTTTTACAGGTGATCGGGTGTTTTCCTCCCTCTGGTTGTCTTATCCACCTAACGGAACAATTGACGTATGGCAACACAAAGCGTTTGTTTATCGTAGAAGCTGAATAGCAGATGTGGCCGAAGGACACGGCCTGCGGTGGTACCGCGCGACTTGCTAAGGGATGGAGGAAGGACACTATGGGTTGGCATCCATGTCTGGATTTGCTTGTCCCATCGAACTACTCTGATGGACTCTCGATCACAACAGGCAGTGGTTTGTGTTGAGCAACCAACTGAACTCCCCTTATCAGGCGTATGCCCTGGGGTAAACAGGAGGGGGCAGTTTTAGGACCAGAAGCGTGTCCAACTGGTGGCTCATAATTGTCCAGTAATGGGAGGACAGTTAAACAGCTCAGGCCAGTTCAGTTTATGCAGAAGGCGGTCTGGTCGCCTGCACCACTTACAACAGGCAACAGGCTGGTTGGTTGTTGCTCTGTACTCAGAGCTTGATAGTTGGATTGCAAGCGTTTCATCACCAATCGCGGTGAAATCGTCAGTGCAAAGTTCACTGGGTAAATTCCTTCTTTTCTTTCTGTGCTCGTATAGTTTCTGAACAGTATCTTGTAACGCTAAAGTGATAAGTTGCTCCCGAGGTGGCTTTCGCCTGATTTGGTTGGTCAGCTTGGAATCTGGGTTGCGTTGTGACCTCAGTTCCCTGCACCTGGTTGGTTGGCTTGCTGAAGCTGGCCACCATTTGTCTTGGTCTCTGCCATGATGGTCGTAGAGTGTCATCTCTAGCACCGACTTAGACGTAACACTCCAAAAGGTGGTATTGGGGTGAACCTGTTTTAAATGTGTGCATCAACTACGAAAGGCAAATAGCGGTAAAACGGCACATAGATTGCCACGATGCGATAAAATACAACGAGTGCGAGAGAAATTTCAGATGGCAATGAAACCAAACGGACAGCCCGACAATCCCAATCAGAAGCTGTCAGTGACGAACTATTTAAGGTTGGTGTCTGTTGAGGAAGTGCATACACGCAATCAGGTGTACTGGTCTGATGAGAGCTGGTACACTGTACTAGCGCGCACTGTCCAATAACAGCCCGATTATTCAGCCCATTGAATAGATTACAAGTGAATTACTGATGAGATTACGCTTGGACGAAAGCCTGTGGCTGAATGGACACGATTGCATAAAAATGTAACCATAAAGTGATTCTCGAATAACTTGGGTATGCCTTAGGTATTGGATTGTTGCACTGACAAAATGTACATAGTGCCTGGCTAACAAAGCTGGCATACATCACAGAATCCCTGTCCTTCCCTATCTTCATCTTTTGAAGTCTCATCTGAAAGTAGGAATAAAATCAGTATTCAGTGAAAAAAGAGATTCAGTCGTAACGGATAGGCTGTCGCATTAAATGTGCCAGCAAGCTGTACCACGACTTAAATGGCAAAGCGAATTCCAACTGGCCATTCACCTTTCATTGATTGGTTGCTTGTTGGGATGTATGAGCTGTCTGCTGTGTAGCACAGTACCATCAGATTTGATAAGCACTGAGACGTACCGTTGATAGCATGACCAATGTGGAAGAACAAGTTCCATTAATGTGGGAGCTTTTTTGGAAACGTGGAGACCATTGGTTGTTGGTCTGTTCGCCGAGCTTGGTAATTGGATTACAAACATTTCATCACCAACCGAGGTGACATCGTCAGTGCAGGATTGAGTGGGTGAATTCCTCCTCTTCTGTCTGTGATTATATAGCTTCTAAACAGTATCTGGTAGTTCTGGGAACGGTCGTCGTTTGATTGGTCTCCTGTCAATATGCCGTGGTCTCAATCTCCTGTGTCTGGTTGGTTCGTTGAGTGCATTCGATTCGGCAGCTCTGTATGTGGTTGTCATGCTGTGATTCGGTCGTTTCCTTCTTGCTTTGTGGGGTGAGTTTTGCTCATTTGATTGGCCTTCTGTTTTTCGTGATTGTCTTCCTTTGAAACCACGTGAGATTCACAGAAGACCGATCAAACTACACGACGACCGTTCCCAGAACTACCAGATACTGTTTAGAAGCTATATAATCACAGACAGAAGAGGAGGAATTCACCCACTCAATCCTGCACTGACGATGTCACCTCGATTGGTGATGAAAGGTTTGCAATCCAACTGCCAAGCTCGGCGAACAGACCAACAACCAAACAACGCACTCGAGCTACCTACATTCCACAACATTGCTAACGTGGAGACCATAGCAGCTTTGGTGCGCTAAACAGACGAGCATTACATCCACTAGAACTCAGGGAAACTCGAGTCGTGATGCAGCAGGATAATTACGGTGCCGTACGAAACACCGACGTATTTCTCGAACGTGGACGGAGTTGCAATCTGTTATCTGCCGCATCAATAAACAGAATGAAAGCGGTCAGAGGGAAGGGAATGGTTATAGCAACCACTATGCAGTATCGGAGACCAGAAGTGTCTTTCAGACGTGGATAAGATGTCCACTGGATTTTATACGCTTGAGGCTATATTTTTCAGAGGCAAGGATTGAATAAGAAAACCAGTTGCGCTTTACTCGTGGACCTGAAGCCAAAGGGAGATTCGCCATGATACAAGCGTTGTGATTTCCTGCGTACCCCACTTGTTTGATCCTAACGGCGGTGTGTGTCCTGTATCTAGTCGGTATGCTCCGCTCCCACAATACGGATATTCAGACCACACGTCAGTGGCCACAAAGCTTCGACGCCAGACGAACTATCACGTGTGAGGGACTCGTAACAGACACAGGCCGCAAGATTTTGATAGGCTTATTTCCCTTTTTGTTCATCAAAACTTTCACTGCTAGGCGGTTTTATCTTCCTGTTACGACTGGTATAACCCTAACCTAACAAATATCTCTTCGATAGACGTGAATGCTGATTCATTGTCGCAGGTGGGTTTGTGACCAACCAATGTCGAGAGTATCCAGTCAACCAGACACATCTGTCTGGCTTAAATTATTTCGTAATAAATAACGGAAAATCGCTCCGCTTTCTATTCATTGTAGGAGTACCTCAAAGGCACCAAGCATCCTTTAATCCCAATCACCGTGGTATCTGAGGGTCGCCAATCAAAAGAATTGGACAAGGTTCTCGAATGAAAACGTCTGGAGTCGTGGAAATCCATGAAGCAGCCTCACATCGCTTTGCTTAAACCACTGCTTGCGTGTGCCTTATCGAACTGTTCTCACGTAAAGTCTTCTTTTGGTTTCATTCTTTCAACTGACTTACGTTATTATCCGATAGAAATAAATATGCTCTTGAGTCTGTGAGCAAAACTTTTGAGAGTGGTCGTTGAGTCTCCAATGACTAATGAATCTACCGTCAAAACCAAATAAGTTTGCAAACGAGTGTATTCCTCGAGTTCAATTAGAACGACGAGAGCTCGGGGACTGTGCCTACATGATGAATTCCAGGAAAGGCGAAGCAGTGTTCCTTCACTACAAGAACCATCGTGGGCTTGGTACTCGAGGAATCCGGTAGGTTGAGGCAGATCTGCCACGAACTGCAAAAGGTGATATAGTAAAATACGATGTATAGCACGATATCGTACATAGTGATAAAGGTAGATACCACAGAAAACAGAGAACCTGGCAACTCAAACCAGAGATGTCCAGCGGCAAACTGCATGAGGTTCCTACAGATTTGGGCGGAGGCACCTTCCGAGATGACGCGAGGGTTTTGTTTATAGGGTTAACAAGATTTGAGACGTACGCTCACTTGGAAGCATATCTCTGATAACTCGAAAGTTAAAAACGTAGGGTGTAAGAAATTCGGTCTGGCTACAGTGTAGGATATCGACTATTCTGTCTATCACCTCCGGCATTGAAAATCCATCATTCTGCTGGTGGATAACCTTTAACAAACGGATAATTACACAACATTAAGGAGGATATTAGCAAAAATAGGCCGAAGACGATTAGGGGATCCAAGAATAACGAAACATGACTCAGAGAATGACTGACTCTCAGGTCAGGGGGATTTCTATCGATTTTCTTCGAATCAACGCGCGTTTGAGAATAACGAATCAACATTCTGACCCCCCAAGAAACGACACCTGCTAGTTGCTGGTTGTGAAACAAATACATTCAAACGAATTTGATCGCGAAGCCCAAAAACATGGAGGATATCTTTCATCCACAGCCTAAGGATATCAGCTCGACTGACAACAAAATGCTTGCACCCTAATTGCTGAGCCCAGAGAAACTGAGGTACAAACACTGGTTAATTGCAAACTTAGGATTATTCAACACCTAGCTCGAAACTTCAGTTTCAGTTCATCTTGCCTAGTTAGTGATTACTAAAAATACCAAAAACATCAGACGACGTCTGTAAGTCAAGAAATCATAAGATGCAAAAGTTAAAATGGGCTGGCTTATTGGCTTTACATGCGATCATTCTAAAGGTCGATGACGCGATTGGATTTAACCTATTTGTGTGATATATATCCGTTCAGCTGTAACGTGCTTTCAGTGCCTAGCTGTCATGCCACCCGAAAGAAGCACGAAGACTGAGTATCGCCAGTTTGTACAAGGAGCAGTCAGGAGCAGTCAAAATGCACAGTTGGGTTAGAACCACGGACCTTCCGGGCAGTAAGTTTGCACCCCAACTAGTGATCCGTATGGGCTCCCTACAGGTGTCATAGATACTTATGGTTAGGTTGTCGCTCATTGGAAAATCCACTCCATTTAGGATGACATGTGCACTATGTACGTACTTGTTTTAAACGCAGAGTACGGAATTTTGTATTCTCGTGGTGAACGAAGCAGTTAGTTTTACTGCCGTTGATTGGTTCTACGGAACCTGATGGGTGATTTTGGTGGCGGAATTCTCCTCTACCGCGTGTCAGATTTCGATAAACTGAGCCACAATTGTGCTTGGATGACTTCCTTTCAAGCCTACCAAGCATTAACCACGCACACACAAACAAATGGCCAAATGGATAGAGCATAAGAGAAGCAGCGGAATTGTTGAACAATAATACATAGTGTTTAGAAGTCGTGCACGGGGAATTGCGTCAGTTTCCGGGAGGTTTTTCTTCTACGGCGTAGGAAGAACCAATTTACAGTCAATCATTTTATGGCTTCACTGTAATCTCGATATGCACTTCCAAAATCATTCTAATATTATGCCACGTACGGCGTAACTTGATGGCCACTGGGACCCCGGTGTTGTCAGCTCGACGTCCATTAGCTGGACAGGCCCCGTTGCTCGTCGAAAAGCAACCTAGAACTTCTCACGACAGCTTTATAAGCAGCCCGTTTCCGGGCTGCACGATACACCTGTAGGCATCAATGTTCAATAAATCAGCTGAATCGCACGTTCGTTGGCTTTCTGGTTTGGCCAAGCGCATCAGGCTATCAAAGGGCTATCCAGACTCAGGTTCACAGGATTAAGGCAAGCTGTGGTCCGCAACCATCACAGCTCATAAATGTAGAACTACGGGTTTCCAATACATCAGAAACAGCACTTTTCGCTTTCATTGAGTATACAACTATACTCGTACTTGATTGGTCCACTATCTGAGTTTCTCTGAAGCAACTGGAGACGATCAGTTTTTGTTTGTTCGAAGTTGTTTTAAACTGCAGCTTCGACTTAACCAGTTGAGTGAAGTCGGTTGGATAATCGAAGCATGAGTTCGCCTGCAGTGGAAACTCCGTGGGTTGACTGGGAGGGTGGTTTCCCAAATCCGTATCGCCAGTGGTCCATGGTGTCGTCAGCTGGTCTGCCATTAGGTTGTGTCACCCGGTTACTCCACAGGTACCCGAGGAGTTCCACGAAAAGATCAAGCGTTGAGAACCTTCACATCGCTGTGAAACTGAGCAGATGCACCGTGCTCCAAAACGCCCGCTCAGGTGGATATTTTTAGCTACTAATCTACGAGACCAGTTTGGCTCAAAAACCATAGTCAACAACAGTCTGAAAGGTAAGCCACTTATTACAAACCAGTCTATGCTAGTGTACTCTTCCACGTGAAGCTATGTAGCAGTGCATGGTGGTCGAAGTACTCGACTTTTGGCAGAACGGATTGGAGAGCATAGTTCCAGAGACCACAGCTGAACTGTCCACGAGCATCCACCAGGATGAGGTAACAGGACAAAATGCCACACATTCGGCCGATCAGAGCGCGCCCGCTTTTGCATCCCAGAGGAATTTAAGCCGTCTCCGAACACCAAATATGATGTTCCGACAGCAAGCCAGACCATTCTTTCGAATATGAAATCAATCGCAAGATTTATTGTGAAAACTAATCGAGAATGGCCATTCAGTTGTCAGGCTTGTTCTGTTTTCTTTCCAGCGCCTCCGCGCCGCCCTTACAGCGCCATCGCACCTGTGCATAACCACCGCTTTATTGGTTTGAAGTCGCATACATAAAGTGTCATTAACTGCCAACACGAAAAACCGACACTCAGGGAAAACTCAGTCTCATGATTCATATAGCAGTTGAGCTTGTTACTAATTAGCGACCGAATCAAACTGCATCAGATGCGTGAAAGTTACACACATGCGGTATGAAAAATAGCTATCGTAACGGGACTGTTTTAACTGACTGACAATCCCAGCCCAAGAACCTTGGTCACAGAAAAGACTCACCGAACAAGAACACAACAGTTTTAATGCGAACAAGGCAGCGTAGAATTACAGGGAGCGTTGCAGTACTTAAGGCACATTTTTTTATCTTGAATCAAGGCTGTGCGGTCGATGTTGAGTAACTGATTGGCGTCGTTTCTAGGACAAGCATGCGCACTCCGCACTTACGATTATCGCTGAATGGCTGCTTGAACGTCTAATCGATAACTAACTTTATTAACCCGGAGAATGGGCAGCCTTTCTGAAGCGAATTTGGCTGGGTTGGTGGTTCCCAATAAGTTTAGGACATTCTGGGGTTATTTTCAGTAATCTGACCTTCCTGACAGCGAGAGGACCTGGTATCGTAATGGTACCACTCAAACCAAACTTGAATCCATAATACAAGTGAAAGGAAGAAGGACTTCGCTGTGGAGTTATTAGAAAACGCCAAGTGAATAGCTACAGACTATTTGACAAGGAAGCAAAACTCTCATGCATCTTGTTTACAAAAACTGAATAGCCATATTCTACTTGAACGCATCTTCCTGAATTTTCCCGGATATTCATTGACTGTTGTACAAATGCAAGCAAATGCGACTCCACAAATTCCGTAATAGATCTCACTTTTCAAGAAACGCGAAGCAAATTTACGAGAAAACACACTACTCGCATGCCCCATCAGACTACTCGCAGCCCCATCAGTACCATTCACCGCTAAACCAAGTGGTTCATGCCATCCAGGTGTAGTCAGCAAGAAGTTGCGGAAAGATGACGCCACAAGAAGTCAATCACAACGTTGAAATGGCACAAGCACCATGTCTCCTGAGAACCTTTGAAGCTGGCCACGTAGATGAAAGGCTGGATCAAATTGATTCACACGTTCCTGTAACTATGATGTATCGTACAATCCAGAAGGATTCAGGAACTGCCTCAAATATTGGAGCAGGACATTTCATCTAGACGTTTTATCTAGGAAGTACATAGTAAAGACTATTTCTACGTTTAAAAGTGACTACCAGGAAAAGTAAATAGGGAATACGCTGAGAAAACAAAACGACAGCATAAATACATTGGAAGGCGAAATCCCAAAGTCTGAGGACCGATCGTTAAACTGCACACGCAATTCAGCGAGGTAGGTATAAGTCATACCAGCGTCCACCTAGGATCGAGTCAAAACGATGCTGTCGTAGCTCCAAGGCGTTGGACGCTGGTTTCGACGGTGAAAGCAAGCGAAGAATTTCGCTGGTGAACGTTGTGATGTGAATATTCTCAGAACAGGCCATCTGTTCGGAGGTCAGGTCCTTAATCACAGAATGCACTTGAGCAGACCTCAGTTTGGTCATGGGCATCCACATCCCGTCCGACAGTTCCTATAAAAAAACGGAGAGGAATATGGATCAGATGAAAAGTAACAAAAAGCCTTTTGTGCTATTGAATCGCCTAACTAGCTCATGAATTCCGGGCGAACGATTCTGACGACCCGTCACTTCGCTGATCCTTTAATATGTTCGTGTAAATCACCAAAAATCCCAAACGTACAACAGTTTCTCCCCCCCCCCACAAAAGTAAACTCTTCAAGAAACACTCAATCAAGACCAGTTAACCTCAGCCCTGTGAGACATGGCTTGCACTCAATATCTTTCCAAAAGCGTCCTGCCTCCTAAAAAGAGCTATTCTTCTCCCAACAAAGACCAGGATGCAAAATTCGCCTTTTGGGTTCGCTTATGTTAAGGCACCATGTGGCCACATAATTATCCACATCACACCCAAGGAAGCAGTAACATTTCAGATCATCCACGAGTAGGTAGGTACACAAAGTCCATCGTCCGTGATAAGATAAGCATCAACGAAAAAAAGAACCTAGCGTGTGAACAAAGCAAACCTAGATCAGCAACATAGCACATTCGTCCCATCTCCTGGAAAAATTTTGGACTTTGTGCAGGCCGGCGGCTTCAAAACTTTCCAGCCCAGCATTCCTTGGCGTTCAGCGTGGGACGCCCCTCATCTTGCATGGAACATGGGGAGAACAGAACTAGCATTGTTATTAAAAAGCATTTTTGTTGCACACTTCTATCTTCAAGATAGGTGCCTCCTAAGAGGCAACTCCCTTGCAAAATATGTAAAATCCCTTCCAGAACAGAACAATTTGGTGTGCGACTCCTTTGAAGAAAGCACATTCTGTGGAGAGTTTCGCTAATCTGTCCTAAAATAGCATCCTGTGTATTACATGCGTTGATTGGTACTGGTTGTCCAAAAACGATGCAAATCCGTACTTCGAATATTCCACAGACTACTGAAAATTTGCCAGCAATGTCGAATAAAAAAACTATTTGGAATTGACTGAGTGGTAGGGATGTAGGCACCTCGGCTGTTTTTGGTGAGCTAGCCCCAGACACCTTTGTTCAATTTTTCTTCTTTTCATTAAAGTTTTATTCAAACAAGTTGACATGGCTGCACGTCAGTGTGGTACCAGTGTACTTCACTGATTTTGATGTCAGTGGTGATGAAAAGAAGGCAAAAAGTTTTAAGAAAACAAATATGACGAAAGAATAGATGCTATCCCATAAGGACAGAACCTCCGAAACCATCACTCAACATATACCATACAGCCACACCGAGTACATTTGAAATATTTTACTGAGTAGCGATAACTTTGTTCCATAAATTCACTGCGCACTGTCCGGCTAGATTATCACCAAGGAACACGGTCGAAATAGACCAGAATACAACTCCTCATGAGAGGTGGATGAACAAATAGAACATGAAGGAGCGCAGACAGTATAGTCTAATTTCAGAGCGTATTTTCTGAGAGGTTGTGGAAATTGAAACTGTTACATCTGCTGATTCGCCGGTCTGTGGTATCTGCTGCTGACCCGCTCCAGTGCCTAGTGTCGGAGAGAAAAGACTCACGGAAGGGAACACAACGGCTATATTCCAACAAAGTGGGTGCGAGAGCGTGAGTGCGTGCAAGTGGGAAAAGTACAACGGCCTCAAGCTTTTTATTGGAAGGACACTGTCTGAACTTGGTCCAATGCTGACGCACGCGGTCTGGCTTTGGTACGAGGCAGCGACGTGCTGCATATTGCGGAGGCGTTGTCTGACCTTGATCAACGCTGACTCGCGCTGTCTGGGTTTGATGCAAGGCTGTGACGCGCTGCATATTGAGGGGGCGTTGTCTGTCTGGTCAACATCTAGCGGAGCTGAGGGTCTCGGTAGATTTCGGGCATTCAGTGGTTGCTTTCAGGAAGCCGACCTTCCTGATAGAAACCCACAACCTGCATGACGCGACCAGTTTAACATACCCGTGAGTTGACTTGTAATAAATAATAATCGTCCAGCTGTAGCACCCTTTCGGTACTTATCTGCCATGCCGCATGAAGGACGCACGAGGGCTGGGATACTGGCAGGTCGCCCAAGCCTAGACAGGGGAAGTCGAGAGGCAGAGGTCGGGTTCGAACCACGGACCTCCCAGTCAGCAAATTCGCGCTCTAACCACCTGATCCATCTCTCCCTCTTGACTTGTTTTCATAATTGAACAGGTAACGAAGCCAAACGTACGCATGGATATGCAGCTAGAATGTGTACGGATGTTCATTCAATCGTCTGGTTTCTTGGTAGAGTATAAGCTTGACTTATGAAACGTAGGTAGACGACACAGTAACTTGGGCTGGAACGATCGAGCCGGCGACTGTGAAACACAAGTTGGCGGACTTGAAATGATTGCAGAATGCCTCCAGTAAAGTAGTCAATATAAGGTGAACCATCTGCGTTCAGATCGCCGCAGAAATGTGTAACTCACCCGCTACCATTTACGAGTGGGATCTTACCAGAGTATGAGTTATCATGACCAGTAAGGAACACGGTAACACTCCATCATGATACAAAACAGGGGTAAGGGTAGTACTCCTTCTTCACAAGAACTACTATTCTGAAGCATTCAAATTACTCCTTAGCTCAGGGAAATGCACAACGGAACGTTTGGTCTAGAACAAACATAACCAATCAAGGTCGGGAAGAATTGATTTTCCGATTAATATAAGGCTATAGATGAAGATCACTATCACCATTCAACTGTCAGTTCCGCGTAATGGGTTCATGGAGAATAGTGAGTCAGGTAAGAGCGTTTAGGTTTTGTTCAACTAGACTGTTTGGTTTCCCTCTTGTTCTCGACTGTGAGACACCTAACTAAAGTTAACATAATACGTGTACCTGATCTTTAGACAGCTGTCTTGCTTCGCTAAGTTATGCAGTCTAAATTCTTCGTCAACGCAGTGTCGATGAAGAAACACCAGTAAAATGACTGTTCAGCTGTAAGACCCGTTTGGTGCCTAGATGCCAAGTTGTCCGAAGGAAATAAAAACACTGAGATGCTATCAGGTTGCCCAATTTGAGACAGCAGTCGAAATGCCGGGAGTGGATTCGAACCGCGGGCCTTCCCAGCTCAAATACCAGCGAAATCGTCCTAGAGTAATTTTGAACCATCTATAGAACCACCCTACTATTACATTACGCAATCAACTACCTTGGGTGTCGAAGAGTTTCCAGCAACCTTGTGAGTTGTGTCCTTTAAAAAAAACAACTACCTGCTATTTCGCCCTCTACAGTCCATCTCTGGGTGGCGCCTCTGTGTTCCTGCAAACATTAGCTCTCCTAAAACTAAAGACATCAGTCTACACCCAACAAAACTGTGCACATCCTTCCTGCCGTTTGGCGCCCAACACAGCAAGAAAGAGAATGAGAAACTTTCGTGTCTGTTAGACTCAACACACGATCAGCAGCCTTATACAGTCTAAAACGAATTTCACGAGCCCCGAATCTGCCCTGGTCATGCGACACGTCGTTTAATCCAGTCCTTCAACGTCAGTTCCAATCATTTTGCATAACACAGCTAGATAATTCGAATTCGACTACCTTGCCTGTTGTTATCTTCCTCATAATCTGGTAGCTAACCTCAGCTGCTCAGCTCACCATTTGTAGGTATCGAACTGATGAGGAAGACCAACCAGAAAATAATAATGTTAAAATCGGACGAGGGTTTCCTGTAAGGCTGAAGAACTACGCTACACAGAGAAACCCACCGTTTTACATGGTCTTATAGGAGGGAGTTCCTCGCATGCACTTGGCAAGCGAAGTCGACAAGCCACAAGGAAATCCGATCGACCAAAGGATCCAGGAAAGGCATGTTGTTGTCGCAAGGCAAGAATGCCGGAGAACTCAGCCAAGATCCCAGTTTCTTCATATAATTCACGCAGCACGGCAGAACCTGGGTGCAAGAGTAGAAAAGTTCGTGTGATCAGCAACAAAGCTTATGGTGACGAAGCGTTTACAAATCAATTGTCAAGCTCGGCGAACAGATCAAAAGCCACCTGATCAGTTACCAAAGTTTATGGTACGAACAGATCAAAGCCACCTGATCAGTTACCAAAGTTTATGGTAGCTAACGTATGAGTTGAATAATAAACAACCTGTTGCGGACTGGATGGATCGATCATCATGGGGAACTAGGTATCAAATGAGGTCGTCTTCATATAAACACTACCGCGGACTCTAGGAGAGGAGAGTAAGGAGGTATTGTCACTGAAAACTTGTCAGATTAGGAAATTGGAGTATTTATTGTGGTTGTTCAGCAGCCGCGTTGCAGTATGTGGGAGAGATAGAAACGAACTCTGTGACTACATTGATTTTCGTCTTAACATGCACAATTGAAATGTCATCGGAGTTCACTAATAAAGGACTACCATTTGTCGATCTACTTTGACAGTAAAATCCGACCTCGGAGTTTCGCGTGTTGAGTCCTGAATGTGCAGATGAAGTATCACAAAAGACAGAGAGATTTTTTCGCCTGACAATCATGCACGGCTCAACCTCATATCTGAGTTCGAGTGTGTGCTGACATCGAATGCAGTGCCCGGACTAGGCATTGAAAACTGTGGAACTCGGATGTGGATCTTCAAAGTTATCAATTAATTGTGCTGCAGACTATGAAATTAGAGCAAAAGTGACCTGCATCCAGAGTAGCTGGTGCAAAATATTCAAAAGTTTGGTTCACATTAGGTTCTTCGTGTTTTGCCTACCAGACCACGAACAAATTTTGGAGAATCGGAACCGATTGGTCTTTGAAACAGGCTGTCACTATGTTCCAAAACACCGTTTTTGTCCGAAAGAGTAAAATATCCACGAGAAAAAACAGGCACACAACCCACACCAAGCTGGATAAGTTCAAACGTAAGCTAAGTTTGATTGCACTGATTCGGGGAGCTTGGGGAAATTCTAGTCACCTTCAAAAGATCGGCAACATCCCATTCTCAACAGGTCGATTTTCCCCTATCATAATTTGGCTAAATGGCTCTTCAGCATGCTTGAGCCAGTCAGGAGAGAAGTTCCGAGATGCAGTCGAGAGATACTTTCATCAACTAGGTTGTGGATCGTGTGTCCTGACTTATAAAGGTAACACTTCTCCAGGAAACAACAGACTACCCTAGGATTTGACTGAGTGGAGTGGCAAAAATGTTGGCATTCCTATTCCGGAACTTGGAGGATTATTACCACTTTGCACCTACACTGGGCGGTTCAGTTTCAATTGTCAAATTTATCGGCAGGAAGAAGAGCTTGTAATGAGATCTCCTTCAGGTCCCCTTTGGCAGATCTATTCATGAATAAACTTGAAACTCGAAGGATAAGCACTGTAATGGGAGAGTTTACAATGTATTGCCGTTCCATTGGCGAAATCCTCATTGACGACAGTATCAATGAGCAGACGAGTTAAAAAGTTCAAGCAAATATCAATGTTACTTCTGAGTCAGAACAGAACGGGCAGTTAGGTTTCGTCGATGTCAGTATTCAGAAGACCGATGCAAAAAAAAAAAACGAACCTGGAGTGGTCATTATATTCACATCAATAGGTTTGTTCAGTTGCGACAAGAGCATAAGCTAATTAGATGTGTGACTAAGACTGCAATATTTTCATCGAGCTGTTTAAGCGTGGAGCTAAATTTCCTACAATATGCTTCTGCGAAACGGACATCACGCACGACCAGTACTCAAAACTATGCTATCTATAAAGCAGAGATCCAAATAACGCCCAGCTGAGAAAAAATTTAAGGGCGGCCCGCTCGTTAAGTTAATTACCAAAAAGCTTGAACGTTCTGTTTCTCCGAAATCCGTGGCCACTAATCTGTGCTTGAATTTCAGTTGCTCCACCCCACCAGCAGGTTCCTTCTGAAGGACGAACTGACAAGCGCTACCACCACCTTCTGTGTAAAAAAGAAATAATCATTCAGCTGTAACACCCTTTCGGTGCCAAGCTGCCATACCACCAGAAGAAAGCACGAGGGCTGGGATACTGCCAGGTTGTCCAAACCTATATAGGGGAAGTCGAGAGGCGGAGGTCGGACTCGAACGACAGATCTTCCGGTCAGTAAATTCGCGCTGTAACCATTTGGACCATCTTGCCATTTTATTGTGTCGACAAGGAGCACACCTTCGAAGTTATATACGAGTTAATTCTGAGCCGATCACGGCTGGCACTATCCACAGTCAACTGCATGACCCGCGACATTGCGTCCAAAAACAAACTCACGCGACCGCTGAAATTGAGCTGAATTTCATCTCCGTATTTTATACATAATGCGGTACACTAATACCTACATACATCGCTGAGATGAAGATTTGTTAGCTCAGCTCTCTGGTGATTGTCACGGGATATGTACAATTACATCCTGATACATCCTCATATCCTTATATACAATGAAATGATGACAATTTCAGATGATAAATAAACAAACTAAAATAATAATCGTTCAGCTCTCGGTGCCTAACGACCATGCCACCCAAAGTAAGCACGAGGACTTGGATACTGCCAGGTTGCCCACGCCTAGACAGGGGAAGTCAAGAGGCAGAGGTCGGGTTCGAACCATGGACCTTCCATTTAGTAAATTCGCGCTCTAGCCGCTTGAGCCATCTCGCCCCCAACTAGCCAATAGAAGCGTACAGCACAACGTTCGCAACTCATCCTTTCTTGTAATGCAATACGTTTTCTTCGCCTGAGGGGTAAGAAGCACTGAGTTAAATCCTAAAGACAAGGGATCCCAGAAGAACAAAGGTTGAGTTAGTTTAGCTTAGACTGGCATGCATAAAGTTCGGATTCAAATCCACTTGAAAAGCTATGAGGAATAATATATTTGTATGGAATGTGTGTAGCGTTGGACAGCTCGGAGGATCACTGCCAGAATGAGGGAGAGTGAAGCAAAATTTGTCAGGAAGTTAATTCGGGTCCTCAAAAGCAGTACCTTGACCCAGTCCGTTTCGCTGGGAATCACAGTAGCTTTATTTCCTACGCAACTCTTCTCCAGCTCTTCTCTCGCTATGCATCTGAATAATATGTGAAAAATCCAAATGATATGTTGTATTTTACACACATTTTCGTTGGAGACGAACTGGCATGACGCATAACCTAATTGTGTGCTTGTAACAAATCAGCGCTCTTATCATCAGTTTGCATACTTTATTGTGGAGAGCGAAAGCCATTCAGGTGCCACCATCCAGCCAACACCACAATTGTGCAAGCTCCCTAAAGTGGGGAAGTGAGTTGAGATTTGATAGAATGTAAAAAAGGTAATCGTTCAGCTGTAGCACCCTCTCGGTGCCTAACGGCCATGCCACCCGAAGTAAGCACAAGGGCTGGGATACTGCCAGGTTGCCCACGCCTAGATAGGGGCAGTCGAGATGTCGATATTGGGTTCGAATCAAGGACCTCTAGGTCAGTAAGTTCGCGCCTTAACCACTGAGTCATTAGGAGCTTGTCAGTGGTAGCTTACCAACCAAGCGTAGAATTTCGGTGATTCAGCTACTAATGATCCGTCGCGGATGCAGCCACTTGTTTAAACTCTTCAGCCAGTCCCAACTTCCAATATTTCAGAATGAAACTTTTATTCATTGGCATCGTTACCCTCTAAGCTTCCTTGTGAAACTTAGCTAGACTAAGTCGAAAAAGATGGATTTACAAATGTTAGACGGTGCGCACAGTGAAAAGCGTATCGGACAGTCTATAGTATCAGACTATAAGGGAGATCAGAAGGAGAATAGAATAAAAACCATCGGCATGGGAACTCACTGATGTCTTCACCCAGATGAGCGATTCCAGTTGGGAACTTCCATCCTTTGAACTGAAAAGAAGTACATGCGCCAAGGAGCCAGGTTGAAGCCTACCCCGGAGGAACCTGTTTCGCGAACCATAACCACATGTTCCAAGGTTGGTGAGACCAAAACAGCTTTTATGGAGGGAAGAAGAAGTAAAAAATCCAAAACCGATTAGAATGCACAATAGGAATAACCAATCGGCTGTTAAGACTCGAAAGGAATCTGGCATCAAGATGGAGGAGTAGCAAGCAGAGATTGGTTTTGCTATTGTCACTAGGCTAATGCTCTATTGGCGCTCATGGCCCAACGATCAGTGGTTCCAACCACTAGCTGGGTGGTTAGATGCTCTGGAGTTTAGTGGGATCCGCACTGCTGATGATTCCCAAAAAGGATCAAACAGCTGTACAAAGCTTCTTGGCTTGGGTTCGAGATAGTTTAGTGGTGCAGGCGCGAACTTACTAATCGATAGGTTCGTGGTTTGGATCTGAACCCAACATCTCGACTGCTTATGTCTAGGCCTGAACAACCTGACAGTATCTAAGGCCTCTTGCTTCCTTCGAGTGGCTCGACAGCTAGGCACTTAAAGGGTGCTACAGATGGACGTATTTTCCTAAATGCCCCACGAATCTCTTGGAAATAATATGTAATCACCTGTACTCCAAGTCACAGACAGAAGGTACAAAAGGGTTCAATGACGTCAACACGGTCACTCGACAGAGCGGTCACGAGGACGCCCAAATTGATGCAGATCTAGATTGATTGTGAGGCAGTGCTTCTGCGCTGCTCAGCATGGATTACCTTAACTTACAGGACGGAATTCCCCTTACTAAACTATACCTGAATTTGGGTCCCATAGCTGTCCGGTCCCAAATGAAAAACAAACCACCAACAGCTTTCCCATGCGCTCACTCTTGTTACCTTGTCGAGCATTGCACCGTGGTTGCAAGACAGGTGGCTGAATTCAAGTATCTACTATGCCGATAAACTTATCTGACACCATGGGTTTAATCCGCCTCTCGAGATGTTAAAGTATAGGGACAGTATATTACTAGTAAAGTTGGAAAAAGCGAGTAACGGAGGACAATCCCACCTGGCAACGATGGAAGTGATGAACCCGGGTGAGGA